AATAGGTATATATATGTTGCTCTTTACTTTTGCTGTGATATATAAATTACAGTTACATTACAGCTATATTGGCTGTATTTTTACTTTTTTATTACCTGTCATAGCGTACAGCTATCAATACAGCCAAAATAGCTATGACTGCATTTTGACTTTTCTATTAGCTGTCACAGCGACTGTACAGCTATCAATATAGCCAAAATAGCTATGACTGCATTTTGACTTTTCTATTAGCTGTCACAGCGACTGTACAGCTATCAATATAGCCAAAATAACTGTGACTGCCAAATAGTTGTAAACTTCAACTAATTTCGACCAATCTCGATACGCTTTAACACCATTTGATACAATTCGACATAGAATTTCTTGTCGAGCAATGTCACGTGAGAAATGTCGCGCATTTCCTATGATGAAAATTATCCAATCAAGTGAGAGCTCACGTTTATCATTTACACTAGATTTCGAGATACACAATCAACCCTAAAAGGTTTAATTTAATTTTGAAGATAGCTATTTAAAAAATTAATTAGTTATTAGAATTGTTAATAGCTGTATTTAGTAAAGAAAGCAATTTAATCAGCATTCAATGATTCTTTATTATAATTAATTCCCATATACTAAATTCATGCAAAGAATTAAGAACAAAATCCAATCATATTAAAAATTCACTGATTAGTTTTCTTTACTGAAATAAGTAGTCAACATATTATATATATTAGGTGTAGTAAAAAGAAATCCATTATTTTTGCATGAAATTGAATGGAAAAATAATGGATTTCTTTTTACTACACCTAATATTATATATCTGAAGTAAAGTATTTTTTATCTATACATTTAATTACAATATTATTTGATTAATTGTATTACATTATTTATAGAATTGACTAATGTATGGAATGTACGTATAATATAATAATATATATTTATTTTAAAATAAGTAACAATAGTTCAAAAAATTAATTTTTCAGAAAAAAGAAAAATTACTTTTTAATTTGACAGAAAATTATTGACTAATCAAATAATATCAGCAAAAAAAATATATTCTTAATATAATCATATGTCATTTTTGCCATTTTTTAAATTAAAAAAAAACACTTTTTAAATAAGAGGTAATAAGCCAGTAAGAACTAACACAGGATGTCCGCGTGTAAAATTTCTTTATATTTTGTACAGATGTTTCGACACTTGCTTTGAGTTTTTTTCAGCGTATCATTAAGATAATAATTGAATGATCTCAAAAGGCATGTCACTAATTTAAAGTTGTATCACAAAATAGTAATCAGAGTATGAAGTTCAAAGTTAAAATTAATGAAACGTCTTAATATTTGGTAGAATATTTAAACAGGTAGTTAAAAAAAGACAGTTGCCGTAATAAGATACCTGTATATTACGATGTATATTATATATTATTATAATATATTACGAGTTATTGCGAGCTCGTGACACTTTTTTTAAGTTGTAATGATATTTTGACGATTTAAAAGAAAACAGTTGTTTTCGAGCTGTGAAAATTTTGATGATTTTATGTGAAGTTGATTTTTAATAATTGATATGGTAATGTTTATTTAATTCATTTATGGAAATAACTCAAAAATCTATTTTTTTTAGTTGTTACTTTTGAAGGAAGCAATATGTACGTACATGTTTGCAAACATTTTCAGATAGCAAAGTATCTCAGCAAAATCGCACAAATCTGTGATGCTGGTCGTAGATTTGTCTTCAACGATTTCGAATATACCTACATTGTAGCAACATGTAGACAACATGTGTATATAGCAGTTTAACAGCAAGATAGCTGCGTCAATATTATCTCACATTGTCAACAATATGACAGCATTATATAATGTTGCATATTATTACGATAACAGTATGAATTTTGATGACAACAGTATGAATTTTGATGATGATGATTTTAAAGTTGTCGGTAAATTGCTGGCAAGTTGCTACTCAACCTCATATCGTGAAGGCATCAAGTTGCCAACAAACAAGGACTCAGTTGCTGTATCTCTGGTAGCAACACATACTTAATAATGCAACAACACATACTAGCAACTCAACAAACGAGAATGGATTGAAATGAATTGAAATGGATTCAGATTTTCAGAAATATTGATTCACAAATGTTAAAATGAATGCTTTTCAATCCTGAATGCATTTTTATTTATTTATAAGAGCATGGAACATATCTCTATGCCTTTCAATCTAAAAATATTATTAGTTTTTTCTGTGCAAACACACAAAACAACACAACACACGCACGCACGCACGTACATTGTAAAATACTTCAATTCTAATAAAATACTGTTCCAAATTTTGAATAGGAAATGCAGTTTTTCAATTCAGTTGCATCCAATTAAATCCAATTGAAACCAATTAAATCCAAAAAGGTTCGCTATTTAAAATACGTATTTGGATAGAAAAAAATTTCAATCCATTTTAGTCCATTCTCGTTTACTGGGAAGCAACATGCTAGCAACAAGATAGACATGTTGCTATCTGGATTAATAGGAAGAATATTAAGAGCAAAATTATAATATTACATAAATTCTCATTATAACTATATTCAAAATAAAATTATCTAATTCTTTTATGTAATGAGTATAGATAATAGCAATATTAATAAATTTACTTAACAAATCATGTAAAATTTAACAGTTATCAAATGCGTGATCAAATGCGTCATGTCTAGAAAAAAAATTTATTTATATATGCGCAACAATTACTGTTTCAAAAAGAACTATCGTTATTTCAGAGTTGTGTTTCTGTTTAGACAAGTTCTCATTTAAATATATTTAATATCTTTAACTATAAAATACGTTGTGTATATCTTTATATTATTTATCTTTAACTATAAAAAACTTTACATACATAAATTCGCTTTGATCAAAATCACGTAAATTCGACATTGCTAATGTGAAAACTTTTGTAAAATTAAGATAACGTGATATCAATTATACAAGAATATCAGTAATTAACGGATACGTAAATTGAATTTGATGATGCAGTTATTTTCGCACTATCAAGAAAATGTTCGTATATCTCGAAAATACAATGAAAAATGCATTCAAATGCAGTAATTGTATATCTACATTTGGATTCTTAATGATGCTGTAATGGATGAAATAACTTATTTAAAGCAAGTTCGTTTGTTTCAACGCTCGTTGTACCAGTGTCGACCCAACACTCGTGACTTTTGCAGGAATTATGCAGAACCATCGAGTTGCAAACACAATTGCCTTCAAACGAGAGCATTAAGAATTGATGTCACAAAAGAATAAAAGGGGCCAAAGGCTTCAAGAGATCGATAGTTTAATACGAACGAAAGATCTTGGACAACCTGTGAGCGCGGACAATATTCGTGGATATATTCCTCGAAATATGCGTATTACGATAATAACGGTGACTATTGTCCTCTTTTCACAATTCTGCATCAATGTCGGAAGGTATAGAATTGTGATAATTGTGGATTTCGACATGTGGATTACGATAAAATCGTAATTTTTCAAAATAAAAGTTAAAAAGAAGAATATTAGAGAAATCATAAGAGATGTGCTTTTATTTCAAAATTATAAATACGTCCTGCGTATCACTACATTAAGAGAAATATAATAAATATTTATTCGAATATATAGTGCCAATTGAACATTTACTAAATGTAAACATATATTTATTTGGTACAAAACTATTAATTTTATTTAAAAAGCGAAGTATCAATCCTATTATTAATACATAGTCGCGCCCCAATTGCAATGTAATCATTTTCTTTATATAAGTATGGTATATTGACTTCTTGTACTAAGTAGATCTTAATGATTGTATTATGTATCATTTTATGTAATGTGCAGTTAGTTTAATTGTTATTTTTTTATTTTCACTTCTATACTTTATGGGCATCTGACTACTTTATAGGCATCTGAAACACTCGTGTATTTTTGCGTCGCATTAATCTTTTCTCTCTCTCTCTCTCTCACATTGTGTTAGATAATCAAAATAAATAAGAGTTAACGCTGTGAGATTACAATTAAAGCGCATACTTTGTGCTAATAAGAAAAAAGAAGTAATTCGAGATCAATTTACTGTCGTGTGAATAATACTTACTTATAGTAATGCGAAATTACGACGTCGCAGAATTTTTATCTTATTGCATAATGATAAAGTTATTTCCTTTCACTTTCAAAAAAAGGTGAACAGAAGTCATAAACAGAACAATTGTATAACTTTTTTTTAAATGGATTTTTTGCCTGTTCATTGAACAATTATGAATTCATATAAGTAAGAATGAGTAAGAGCTAATCACTCGATGACCATGCTGCTTTTTAGCTTTCAGAATGCAGCTAATCATCGAATGATTAGTTCTTACTTATAAATCTATAAATAAGAAAATCCTTTGAAAAAAGTGGAATTATTCTGTTCATGATTGTATGTTCAACAAATTTGAATATTGTTTCTTTTTTTAATATTATTTGATTATAGTCATCTCGATGCATGTTGCATGTGCTTTCCTATAATATTATAGAAGTTTCGAACGTTGGTGCGAACACAAAACAGAAGATCTAAAATTGGTAGTCGAACGAATAGTAGAGGAAATCGCCACATATAGCAGCTGTATAGTTTTTATTACTGATTCTATCTATCGTGGACTAATCGATGTGCATGCTATTAAAACATCTTTTTTATCGCGATATGATGTAAGTATTAAGAGATACTACGCAGTAGTAGATTTGACAAATGCGACATATGGCTACTTATGTAATACGTGCACGCGCAATTAAAATTCTTTATAAAATGAAAGTTTTTGTCCTTAGAAAATTGTAAAATTTAAATAAAATTAGCTAAATGTTTATTAATTAAAGTTATATGTTTATGTAAAAACTTTTTTATTAATTCTGCATAATTATATATCCTTTTAATTATATATCCTTTTTTGTTATTATTGTACGTCTATCAGATTCAATGTGATAATAAGTTTTATTAAAAATATTTATCGCATGTTTATTTTTCAGATCGGTATACGCGACAATGACGATTTTTTACGGCCCAGAAAAAAAATGATAAATACACTTCAATATGTTAAAGCAACAGGTTGCGATGCGTATATTATATTAATTAGCAATGGATTACTAACATCAAGATTTCTACAATATGTCGAAGGGTAAATGTCAAAATTGCAAAATGATACAGATTTACAATCGATTATGAATTACAATTGTCTAAGAAGTTAAGTTTATATTTTTATATCGGAAAGAGTTTAATTACAATCAATATACGTCATTTAAAAAATATGTGAATTGTAAAAATTAATAAGCAACATTATAAATTGAAGATAAGATTCAACTAACTTTTTGATTCATCAAATTATTATTTTAGAATTATAGAATATTTTCCAAGTTATTAATTTACTATTCCCTTGCACATCCCTTTTATTTGATTTGGGGGTAAATATGAAGATGGAGGAACCAGCCCTGACGATCTTCATCTTAACATATTGTCAAGATCATGATCTTGAGTTACCTCCAACAGATTAGGCATCGCTTTTTATTTGTTAAAAAGTTTATAAAAATAACATCTCTTTTCTATTATCTATTATATAGAACAAAAATTTTTTGCTTTAAAATAGATTTCCTTTAAAAATAATTTTCTTTGAAAACGTTATTTTCTTATATAATTTTGTAATAAAAATGTAAATTAAGGGATCCTTCTATAACTTTGATTTTCATATGTTAAGATCATCAAGAACTAGTTCCCCCATATCATATCATGTATATCACCATTTCTTCCATACTCAGAATCACATTTTTTTATAGAGAACGTCTACTCAATACACGTGGCTACTTCTTACTTTTGTATGATAATCGACTGTTCAGGCCCGAATTACATTACATTTGGAATCGAATTGTCAACGTGGTGTTCATACGGCAATACGGTACATACAAGTACCGTTCGGGCGAACGGATTCCTGTGAAACGAATCGATCTCAATACCGTCTATTATCCGTCGCGTTCAAGAGATTTCACGGCGATGAAGTACATCGATACGTGGCAAGACGGCAAATTGCATTACGGTAACAATCATTATATGTCGAAAACCACGAATCTTCATGGAAACAATTTGCGGTTAGTATATCGCTTGTTCGTTAATTCGAACGTAAGAATGTAATTTCATAATTCTCGATTTTTGTTCGTAAAATTTCACAGATTACGCTTTCGCATTTAAAAAAATTGTAAATTAAGAAAACGATATAAATTATAATTTATCTCAATCAAAATATCTTTTTTTTATATTTTTATGAAGAAAAAATAGGATAGCAAAGAATAAAACAAAATAAAACGAAGGAAAAATATAAGTCAATGAACATCCGGACGCGGATGTCGATGCATAATATATTTAATTTATTTCACTTGCAGTAAATTGTACTTGTATAAGATACGTATACATTTCAATCACAATTCTGATGAGCTTTATATATATATTATATATATAT